CTCCACCCACACCGCGTATACACCCCCACATTACAGCCCCTATTAAAATTAGGGAAACAACAAAAACGCGTGGCAAACTAAACGCAACAGTCTCCGTCACGGAGCGTGCGTCACCCCTCGGCTCACCAGGTCGTCGTCGTCCCTGCGGTGGTGCACCGGCACAGCCCCCCAGCTCCGCTCCGCCCAGGACACCGCGGCCCCGGACCCCCACATCCTGGAGCAGCAGAGCGTCGCAGGGCAGGGTCATCCGGACGCCGCGACGTGGCGGCGGTGACGACGCTGGCGGTGGAGTGGAGGTGGCGTTGACGACGTCGACGGCGACGCCCCCGCGGGCTGACGAGGCCGCCGCCGCTTAAGGGTGGGCCGGACGGCGGGCAGTCGGCAGGGCAGGGGAGCGGCCGGGGCGCCGAGTGGCATGTGACTGGCTGACTGACCAATGCGCGGGGGCTCGCCTCGGCCGCGGCCCGCGGCCCGGGGGGTGACTGGGTGAGTGGCCCGTGGACGGGGTGGTGGCGGCGGGGTGGCGTTGGCGGTCGGCCCACCCCGACCCCCCGGCCCACCTGCCGCAACACGCCGAGCGGCCAACCACCGCAGCACCGTCGCCACGGCGCACGCACACACGCACGGGAGTCGAGAACGCGCTGTGCGTGTTTGGTAGGCCAGCCCCGACACCACCGCAGCCCTACAAGGGTGCACTCTACGACACACCGCCTCCGCTACTCTCCTGCTGCCCTCCGTGACTCGGACGCTAAGGCCGGCGCTGCTGCAGCTCGTCGCATCTGATCCGATCTGACGGGTCGGGTCGGGCCGGGCCTGAGAGGCTGATTGATGGAGCGGAAAGAGTCGCGCGGAGGCGTGGCAGCGGCGGCCTCATAGTGCGCGCTTTATTAATTAGTCGCGGCACTAATAATTGCACGCGTCGGGCTCACCCGCGGCGGGTGCAGTGTGGTGCGTTGGGGTTGGGGTGTGTTGTTGAGGCCCCAAGGTATACCAGGGCCCGCCCGAGGCCATCGCGGCCTCCGTCAGCGCGACCTTCCTTATGGCCGCCACGGTAAGGAACGAGGACGGGCAGCTCCGCGGCACTGCTCCGCACTGCTGCGCGGGCGTGGGCTCGGACCAGCTCGGACCCGCACAAGCTGTCATCACCCGCTGCGCGAAACATGGGGCCGATCTCTAACGGGGCAAAAACAGCC